GCGTTCCACTGCTGGCGGCCCGGGTTCGGATCCCGGGTGCGCACTGACACACTGCTTCTCCGGCCATGCTGAGGCTGCGTCCCACATGCAGCAACTAGAAGGATGGGCAGCTATGACATACAACTATCTACTGGGGCTTTGGGGGGAAAATAAATAAATAAATAAAATTATAAAAACTAAATTATCCTTTCTTGCTGACTAGAATAAAAGTGTTCTAAGGTGTGAGAGGGTGATATTTGATCACAAAAATAATACATGCTTTTGTAACAGATCCATGTCATACAAAAGTGTATAAAATAAAAGGTGAACATTTTCTTTCATTCCCCTAAATCCAACCCCCAGAAGTAATTATAGTTAGCAGTTTGGTGGTAATGTCCTGCTAGACTTTTTTTTGGTCATTAGAAAAACACGCATTTGCACATGTTTGTGTGGGTATTTGAGGACAGGGGCCAGAACCTATCTCTCAGGCAGTGAGCATACAGAAGGCGCTTGTAACTGCACTGAGAGCAGGGTGTCTGCCCGTCTCCCACTCCAGGTGAGCATCACAGACTACGTGGTGTTCGACCAGTGCAGCTTATTCCAGACCATCATCCACGCCACACACTCAGTGGCCACAGCAGCTCAAGTCCCCGTCGAAAAGGTGGCAGATAAACTGCGCATGGCGTTTTGGTCTCAGCAGCTTCAGTGCCAGCCGAGCCTCCTAGGGGTCAACAACAGTGGCGTCTGGATCTCCTCGGGGAAGAATGAATTCCATGTCGCTAAAGGAAGTCTCGTCGGTGGGTGAATTACTTTATTTTCACATTAGCTTGATAGGCAGCTTCACTTGAAAGCCAGCATTTAGAGAAAAGCTTTAAGATCTCAACTTGAGAAGATAAATCAGTGCCAGTGGTATGAAGTGTGTGTAATGGAGGTGTTCTTTATGCTTTGTATCAGCTTCCTTTTTTTAATCTGTCATTCCCGCAGCTTGGATACCGGTGTCTGGGTGGTGTGTGATCAGTGTCCACTGGGAATCTATTATGATAGAAGAAGAGCAAATGGAGCTCATTTTCATGTTAATTATTTCACATTTAAATGAAAAAAATCCACCCAAACCTAAGAGCCTAGTAAGAGAGAATAGTCCATCTCCTAGAGGGAAAATTATTGCACTGTTGAAAACACAAGGCTCTGGCCAGATCTGTAAATGTAGGTTTAAATCTTCATGTACCGACCAGAGCTTCGTTTCTGTGAGTGAACCCCTGCTTGGTGAATTTTCCCCAGCTCTCTTTCCTCTGGGTGGCCTCCCTCTGACCCTGGGCAAGATCGTGGCTCTGCGTGTTGGTGTTCAGAGAGAAACCAGTGGCTGGCTCTCGTAGCGCTGGCTTGGACCTCCTGATTTAAGGACATTCTAGAATTAGCCGTTAGAGATTTTGAAGACCAGTTGTAGTCTAGAACTGAAGCTCTGAAGTTTTTCTTTTCTTCTTCTTTCTTTAACACACTCTTCCTATTTATTCTTTCTAGGCACTTACTGGAATAATGTTGTTCCCCGTGGGACAGCTTCTGCAACAAAATGGGCCTTTGTATTGGCTTCTACTGCCCCCACAAAGGAAGGTTGGTTGAGAAATGTAGTGCACGGGTTAGCAGGTTGGTTAGACCTGGTTGGCATGGGAGTGCAGCTGTGTAGACCTGAGAGACGAAATGTGCTGGTGTCACAGGCGAGTAGCTCCTGTTGGCTGAGCTGAGGGACCCTGAAGCTGGATAGGCCTGACTAGGAGAGAAGGATCTAGTGTCATGAGCTCAGTGAGTCTACAGGCAAAGCATCCTTCCGAAGGAGGGGAGCGTACACTGTGGCCATTAGGGCCAGCAGCCAGTGACTTCCAGTGACATGTCACAGGGCTGTAGCACAGTGGCCAGTAGGCGCTAGGCTTCTTTGGGCGCCTTCTCATTTCCCCTTGTGAATTCTTCTGTCACCTCCTAGCAGCCTGTTTCTGTCTGGTTTACAGCCTCTGGCTAGCCTGAGTCCCACAGCTGTGCCCCTGTTAAGGCAGACCTTCCCTGCAGAGGCAGACTTCCTCTGGACTCTGGTCAGAATTCACAGCCCTTTCTGGAGTGTGAGGTTTGGAGCCAAGAGAGGCATTGCAGCTACCCAGTGAGCTGGGAGCCTGGGCAGTTAGGTGAGTCCTCCGGGAAGTCGCTGAAGCCTTCTCCCCGGATTGCAGAGGGTCAAATGAGAGGATGCCATGAAGTCGATAGTTCAGACGATGCAGTTGGTTAGTTAAAGCCATTAGTCCCGCTAGGATGTGGATTACTTGGTCAGTACAATAAAATGCTTCCTCTCCAGATTGTTCTGACCACAATTCTGAAATCAGTAAGCTCTGAAAACTCTAGATTTTTTGCTGGCCTGAACTGATGTGAGGCTACTTACAGTCTTTATTTATCCTGTGGATTGTGACTATGCACACATTTTGTTGTAGGAACGTTATTGGACTTCAGTAGGGGGTGCCGCCTGGCTTCCCGGGTCTGTCACTTAAATATGTGGCATACCCGTTACCTTAGGTTTTCAAAATCCAAAAAAATTTTGAGCTCCAAAATATATCGGGCCACAAGTTTTAGGTAATACTTTAGATAATGTATTGTGACCGAGGTTTTAATTTCCCCAAGGGTTATTTGCATTTTAGACTGGATCTATTAAACCTAAAAATGGGGGCCGGCCCTATGGCTTATCGGTTAAGTGCTCGCACTCCGCTGCTGGCGGCCCGGGTTCGGATCCCGGGCGTGCACTGACGCACCGCTTCTCCGGCCATGCCGAGGCCACGTCCCACATACAGCAACTAGAAGGATGTGCAGCTATGACATACAACTATCTACTGGGGCTTTGGGGGAAAAATAAATAAATAAAAATTATTAAAAAAAAAAAAACACCTAAAAATGGTAGAGGGAATGAAAAGATATCATTTTGAGGTGAGGATGAGAAGAGAAGGCTTTCCAGCTTTCCGACCCTTCTCTAGCATCCTCCCCACCCTGCCAGCACCCCCCAAGCCCATGACCAGGAGAACAGGGAAGTACCTTGGTATCGTCCTTCTGAGGATTTGCCAACCTTACTCCCTCTGGAGCACTGATTAAATACGCCAAGTTAAAGACTTCCCAGCCCGTTAAAAAATGTCCAAGGTCAGAGCCACTAAGCCAACGCTAGCCTTCATAAAATGTCATAAACCCTACTTTCTTTCATTTCTTTAGAATACTCGGGCTCATTTCCAGCTCATAATTGGCTGGTCCTGGTGTGTTCTTCTGACTTCTAACTTAAAGCACATTGAGCGCTCCTGCCGTGCAGTAGTGAGTGAGGAGTGTGGGAGCAGGAGCCATCAGGTGCCAGCTGCCTGAAGGCAAAGGCTGCCTTGTGCAATTCATCAGTGACGAACGTGAACCTTTTCCACAGGAAGCTCCTTGTGGCTGTGCCAGAGCAGCAAGGACCTGTATAGTGTCAGCGCCCAGAACGCCCAGTCGCGCCCGTCCACCGTGCAGCTGCCTCCCGATGCCGAGATGAGGGCATACGCCGCCTGCCAAGATGCTCTGTGGGCCCTAGACAGCCTCGGCCAGGTGTTTATCAGGACGCTCTCCAAGAGCTGCCCCACGGGCATGCACTGGACGAGGCTGGACCTTTCCCAGCTAGGTATGGCCGTCTCGTGAGTACGCTCCCTAGCGCCATGACTCTGCTTTAAAGCTGCATCAGAATGTGACATCTGACAAAAGTTCTAGGGCCCGTGTTCAACTTGTGTGAGTTTTTATATGACATTTTGTAAGTTGCTGGATTTCAGGAGATTGAGTAGGTACTCTTGCAGACTAAATGGGCCGCTTAATTTTGTAAGGCCCAGAAAGAACTGGGCCCTAAGCAGGTAAGGAGGTTTGCGAGATTTGCAGAACCTAGAACCCAGGTAGAGCGTAAAGTCAGAGAAAGTTGCCACTAAGAACTGCTTGAAATAATACCACCCATGCAGCTGCCTCTGCCATTCTGTCTGAATATGGCACATTGCCTTCTGCCCTCTAAGTCTGGAAGAATGTGAGTGCCCCACACCAGGATCAGTGGCACATTTACCTGTCTCCCCCACAGCTAGAATAGCGCCCAGCACAGAACAGCTGCTCAACAAGCTGGTGTGGATTCTTGCTCGACCACACTGAAGGAAGATGTACATTTCCTAACTGCTGCTCTTCTCCGAATCTCCCCCCAGGGGTTCCAGAGCAGGCCAAGGAGCATGATGCCATTTATAAATAATTTATTTGTATCCAAGAAATAGGATAATAGAATGAGCCCACAGCATTAGGTTATTCTCTGGGCAAATTCTTGTGTGCGGCAGCTTAGGTGGGGCTTGTCTGAAGGCGGAGACTTGTCTGAAGGTGGAGGCTGCGCCAGGCACCTCCAGAGGGTCCATGTGAGCCTTAGGAATACTCCCCTGCCGTACAGTTTCCCATTTTGGTAAACTGACAACCAGTATTTTGTTTGTTAGGTGTGAGAATTGAGTCGTACAGGCATTTAATGTTTGAGAATTCAACCACATGTACTCATTAAAAAAAAAAAAAAAAGAAGGAGAAAGAAAGCAAGAAAAAAGAGAGGGAGGACTCATAGTCTGCCTCCCTCCCTGGCAGCCTCTGGCAGCATCTCCAACTGGCAGGGGCCTCTCGCCATCCCACACAGCTGGTCTCAGCTCGTGTGGCTCCTGCAGGGTGCTGTGCAGAGATACTGTCATTCTTTTGTCCAACAAGGCCCCAAACATAATCCAGCTTAACTAGAGAAGCAGGGTGGTTCTCAACTAAAGAAGCAAGCTCTGTTCCAAAGCTAGGAGTTTTCCAGGGTCGTTTTGATTATTTATGCTTTTGACCTCATAGCTTGTCTTTTGAACCTACTCCCAGCACCAGAGCTGGTCACCTTTGAGCTTTTGAGAGCTTTTGCCAGCCGCCATTACTGACAGTGACTGACCAGACGAGGCTACGGCTGGTGGTGGCCTTGGATGCTGGTGCTGGGTGGCCCTCCTGCCTGCCCCCAGGAAGCCTTTCATTTGTTCAGAGATCCTGCTGGCCTGAACCTTTCTCCAACAGCCCCAGCCAGACCAGTGTGGAAGATGCCACTAGTTCTTCCAGAGGTAAAAAGGCCGGGGCATGGCTTGTGTCCTACCCGCTCCTAAATCTTGAGAGCTGTGGGAGGCGATGCTCATTTGCGAGATCTGGGTCCGAAGCAGAGCTGTTTCCCTGGCGCCACCCGCTCCCAGTCCCTCAGAGGAAGCCATTGCACTGCACTGGGTACAGAGTGAATGGCTGTTGTGCCAGGCTCCACACTGCTGGAGCCAGCTCTGCCTCTAGGCTCCAGCCCACAGCTCATGCCTCCCTTCCAGTTCAGTCTGGTCCTCCTGGCACTGGCTAGCTGGCTAGTGTTGCAGGTCTCCGAGGTGCCCATTTGGGCTTCACTGGGGTGGTGGCCATTCTTTCTAGGGAGAAACTCAGCTTTGGTGGAATTGACAGAACTGGGCCCTAAGCAGGCTCTAGGATGCTGGGCAAGCTGCTGGGTTACCTTTAAACCTCTATTTCTTACCTTTCTAATGGGAACAGCAGTCCTCACCCAAGAGAGATGATGCAAGGCATCCTGTATACATATAAGCTGTCTCAGGAAAATGTGACATCCTAGAAGCTGTGACACATCCTGCTTGGGGTCACTCTCAAGCCGTCATTAGCTGCATGACCTCAGGCTGGTGGGGGAGTGCTCACTTGGGTTTAACCGTGTGCACGATGTGGGGTGGTTACAGGAAGCACTGCCTTTCTTAGTCTTTATCTTGCTCTAAGCTCTAGATTTTGTTTATTTGCCCGGGTTACTAGCTGATACTGAAATGATGGATAAAGGCTCCTTTTGCCATTTTTTGAACTTCCTGGGAGAGTGCAGCAAGTCTAGAGTTGGTAGGATTTGTGTTCGGGCAGGGGAGGTGGGCAGGGTGCAATGAGAGGGATGCTGGCCTTCCGCTGTGCCAGGGTAGGGGGCAGCAAAAGGCAGGCCAGGGCCACCAGATGTTCTGTCATTCAGCTCTCTCCAGGTCTGGTCTGTGTAGCCTGTGGGAGAAACAGGTGAATCAAGGGGTTTTTTAAATTATTATTTAAGTTAGGAAATGTAGATTTTGAGTTCAGGTGTGTGCTACCTGCCCAGAACCCACGTGAGTGTCCATGGCAGGCTGCCGTCAGGCTGCACACACCAAACAGCAGTGAATAGAGAGTGTAGTAATCTAGGTAACATTAATGCTGCTTTGCATTACTTACCTGGATTAACGGAGAGACTCCATTGTTCTTTTAAAGTTGGCCATGGCGGGCGCTCACAGCAATGAAAAGAAGTACAGCTTCTTCAGGACTGAGACGCTGCATGTGAGGATTTTGTTCAGTATCAAACTTCTCTTTCCCAAACGTACTCTTTTTCCTGACTTCACTCCTCTGCTTCCACTCAATTCTGCTGGGAAGGGCAGAACCCTCTCTGGCTGTTTGTGCTTCTCTACTGGCCAGTGGGGTCAGCGGTGTCTCTTCCATCTAACCCAAAAGGCCTCCTTGGCTGTGTTACCTCTGCTTCCTCCCGCTGCTGCCAGGGTTAGAGCCCCCATGCACCTGCACTGCTGCCCCGGGGTGCCAGGTGTGCCCACCTACCCCCGTGGTTGCCAGAGCTGTCTTCCTAAAACTCAGCTCCGGGGCTGTGCCCTCAGTGCTAAATGGCTCCACGTTGCCCCTGGAGTCAAGTTCCAGTCTTCAGGGTGGCACCAGGGCCCTCGAAGCCTGACCCAGCCTGCCTGTCACAGGCCCCCTGCAGTGGGGGCTCAGCCACCAGTCATTGCTCTTCCCGGTATGCCCGCGCCTTCCATGTCTGGTGTTGGCGTCTCTTCCCATGGCCTAGAGTGTCCTCCCTGCTCTTTTCTTCAGCTCTTCTTCCTTCAGACCTCAGCTGAGATCGTGCCGTCCCCTCAACTTTCTTCAGTCAGTATCTCCACGTGACGCCTTCCCCACTGTGTTCCCTGAGCATCTGCTCCTGCTCTGTCCCAGCGGTCATTCCAGTCTGACTCATGAGGTGTTTACACACAGAGAGTGGGGGCCTCTGCGGGCAGTGTCCACATGCTTGACCACATCCAGACCCAGCAGGAAATTAAACTGTCAGGGAAAGTTGTTATTATTTGTAACCCCATTTCTAGGTAATTCTGAGATGTGAGTTTTGACTCCTTGTTACTGATAATCAGAAAGAAACCTGCCTGACATGCAGGTACAAGATGTCATCACACATAATTCATTCATCCAGCTCCACATTGCCATCAGCCTGCCCAGGGCCTGAGGCAGGAGATGTTGGGCTTATAAAAGCTGCTCAGAGATCTGGTTTACCTGAGTTCTTCTCTTCGTCCTGGCCTTTTCTTTATAAGTGTTCTCACACTGAAAGTGTGAACAGTGAAAGCCCATCTCTGGTGCTGACAACGTGACCTGGACTGCCTCGTGCCAGCCTTGACCTTGGGCAGCACCAGGTCATTGTAAAGCCTGGACTGTCACCAGTCTTTTTCACATTGCAAGCAGAAATTTCAATTTCAAGGATGACTTTAGCAAAGTTTCAAGTCATGAACATGATTTCTACCTTTAATTTTATCTTTAAGACTTAGCGTCCCTCTCTTTTCTGCCCATATACAAATTACCAAATCAATTGCTGCTCTGAGATTAAATTGAGGGAATTCTTAAATTAAATGTCTGGCTATTGAACCCAGTTATAGAGATAATATGGAATTTTGTGATTTATTACAATCCTAGTTTTTGGAAGAAAATTTGCATCATTTAACAGATATATAAGATGCTCATAACTTTTCATTTTCCGGTACACATAGATATGTGTATGTCAGGCGTTGGAATATTTAGCAAACTAATGCAATTTGTGATGTAATTCATCTGGTCACAGCATTTAATGAAGAAATATTCAGTGTCAGTTCATGCCTTTAGGTAACAAATAGGGTTATATTATGCAGTAATTTATGCAGAAAAGTGTTTTATAAATAGTAAAACACGAAATAAATGCTGCTTTTTGTTCTAAAATATATGTTTAAAAAGTAATGCTAAAGGGAAAATGTCTGCTCTGTTGAATAAACTAATTAAAACTTTTTTTAAATGGGAGGGAAAAACAAAACAAGGAGAGGCAGGAGAATGGCAGTGTATTTGTGGTAGTCAGGCTGGTGGTGCTGCAGTAAGAAGCCCCAGATATCAGTGACTTAACACCATGAATGTTGCTTTCCTGCTCCCACGAAGTTGGCTCTCGACCTATCAGTCTTTCAGGGTCATTGTCACCTGGCTGTCAGCTTACTGATCCTGCTGCAGTGCTCTGTGGCTCCACCATCTTGGTCACTGCAGCAGGGGACAGTTGAAAGGTCCCTTGCCAGCTCTTTTTTGCTTCAATTAAGAAGTGACAGATCACTGCTGCTCACAGCCCACTGTCCAGCACTACTAATGAGGCCCCGCCCAACTCTAAGGGACTTCGAGGGAGCCATGGAGTGTTTAGGGAGGGCAGTAGTCTCTGCCACCTGTCTTGACTGTCTTCTCTGTGGAACAGACTCATAAACCTAGGTTCAGGCGGCCTGGGAGACCCTCTGTAAGGTAGGAAACTGCACAAAAGCCCTCGATTAAATGTTTTCATTTTTGACCTGTCTCTTCACTTCAGAATAAATTTGTTTATACACTGAAGTATATATTGCAGCAGCCTTTTATGTTTGTTCTAAAGGAGTGTTCTCCTTGTAATATGAACTCCATGTTCTGTTGGCAGTGGTGTTAATTCACTGCTAACTCTGAGATGCTGGCCCAGTGTGTTTTTGTCACCAACTGACTCTGTTCTTATGATCTGCTACTGCCTGTAGTTCCTATTAGGGCAGGTTGAAGACTCCAACATAAAATTAATTTTTAATTAGCATTTTAAAATGAGCGTTTGTTTCTCGGCTGTTTTTGGAATTTACTGGTACAATTACTTTATTTTGGTTGATATAAATCTTTTAATATGTAATATTAGAAATTTAGGGAGTTTGAACTCTCTGGTAAGACATCCTATAAAAGATTAAGAAAGGAAAAAATACAGTTAATTTCAGTATAAGAGAAATCATCATTTTTAGGAAATGTACAAAGGAATACTGAGAATTTTTTTCTGTAGTGGTGAGTTAATACTTTTAAGTTGGTGTCATACTAAAGGCACGTGGCAAGATTTCCACGCAGCAGGATCTGTGCCTGTGTGTTCTGTTGCAGACACATGGGCTGTCATCTGATGCCACTGACAACTGTGTGAGGTGGCCGAGAGCAGCACCACCAGCAAATGTGGCTGCACCACCTTTTTCCCTGCTTTAAAGTCAAAATGACCCTTCCTCTTACTTAGTCATCAGAAGGCAAACCATTCAACTTGAAAAATGGGCAGAAGACTTGGACACTTTACAAAAGAAGATGTACAGATGCCCCATAAGCACGTTAAAAGATTCTCGACATCAATAGTTATCAGGGAAATGCAAATTAAAATCATGACAGGATACCACTTCACACCCTCTAGAATGGCCAACATGGAAAAGGTGCCAGAACGGAATGCTGGGAGGGGGGGTGTGGGCAACCAGCAGAAACTGCTGGTGGGCTTATAAAATGGTACAAGGGGGAAACTGGCAGTTTATTTAAAAGTTAAACATACATCTACCATATAGCCCCACAGTTCCCACACCTAGGTATTATTCAAGGAAAACAACACATGTTAACAAAAAAAAACTATGAGAATGATTACAGCAGCTTTACTCCTAACAGCACAAAGTGGAAATGGCCCAAATGTCCATCAGCAGGTGACTGGATAAACTAACTGTGGGGTTTGCATGTGATGGAATAATACTCAGCAATGAAAAGAAGAGACACTGATGAATCTCACCCACGTTACACTGAGTGAGAGAAGCCAGACCCCAGAGAGTGCATACGTGTGATTCTGGCTGTATGAACATCTAGACCACAGTGAACAGCTGTCTCTGGTGATAGAAGCCACAAGAGTGGTTGCTGTGGGGCAGAGGAGATTGACTGGAAGGGGCCTGAGGGAGCTTTCTGGGGTGATGAAAGTGTTCCGTAACTTGATAAGGAGGTGGGTTACCTGGGTATATTCATTTGTCAAAACTGATTGAACACGTAAGATCTGTGTACTCACTGGTCAGAGGTCAGAGGTAGCTGATATGGAGGAGTCAGGCTGGCCTGTGTTCAAACCTTAGTCCACCCTGTGCCTCCTGGCTTAGCCACATTCTCACCATGGGATCTTGGGCAAATCTCTTCGTTTCTGAGTCCTGATGGCCTCTTGTGTGAACTGGGAAAATAATAACCGTGCATTGTTGTTGCGAGGTTTGAAATGAGGATATAAAAGACTTAGCTGAGAGCCTCTCCTGCAGCAGCTGTTCAGTAACCCCTGGCTGTTGCTCTTTTTGCCAGATAGACTATTAATCAAATGTAATTTCTCTTTAACGGCTCCTCCCATTTCCTTTCCCCTTAAAATCGGTTTAATCAACAAGAAGAAATGAAAAAAAGAAAAAGAAGATTCTGGGAGGCATGGTTAGTTAATCTTAGTTCTAATTAGGATCAAGTTACCTTTAGAGATAAATGTCCTCCCCTCAAATCCAGAATTTGCTGGTAATAGTCACGTATCTGCTGAAGCTAACGATGGGGCGCGGGGGGAGATGCACATTGAGAAATAATCCCCGTGCTCGGTGACTCAGGGTGCGTGCCGACGCATCTTGACTTGTGGCATAGAAGGACTGCGGTGTGGCGCCTGGCAGGCGGCAGGGCGGCCGGAGGCCTCGGTGACTCTCCTGTGCTATGTTGTCCCCAGGCCACAGAGTTCAACTGCAAATACACCCTCATCGCTTCCTTTGAAGTATAAAATCAAAGTTCATAGATTAAATAAAGACCAGTCATTTTACAAAAGTAATTAGTGTGTGCGCTTTTCTTTATCTACAGGAGCTATAAAACTGATGAGCTTGGCATGTGGAAATCAGCACATCTGGGCCTGTGATTCTAGGGGTGGAGTTTACTTCCGCGTAGGAACCCAGCCTCTGAATCCCAGTCTGATGCTTCCAGCCTGGATAATGATTGAGCCACCTGTCCAGGTAAGCGAAAATTAAGTGATACCAACTTGCTCCTCAGTAGGACAGAAGCTGTTAGGAGGCTGTTGATGGGCAAAGAACCACGCCTGCTTATGTAGGCCTCCTAGCCAATGAGGGCAGAGGCATGTGCCCAGGGAACAGGGCGTGCCCCTGTATCAACATACGCTCGTTCATTGGCATCCCAGTCATGGAGTTTGATATTTGTGGAGTTTAGAGCTGAACAGATTCTTAAAGATTATCTGAGCCAACATGAAGTTTTTTCTTTTCTCAAAAATATTTTGTTTATAACTTTTTGCAAAATGAGCATTATTTAAAAAAAAAAAATCAACCAATACCCAAAAGTGTAGAAAAGAAAGTAAAAGTCACTTAAAATCTTGTCATGGAGATAATGTATTATCAGCATTTTGTGAGTGCCTTTCCTGAAGAAATTCTATTTCCTGTCTGCCCCACCCCCGGCCCCCACCTCTGCCGTATTTCAGTCTATAGTATATTCTGAGTGTTTTTCTTTTTCTCTTGACTGTTCCACCACTCAAATCAGAAGTCTGATTCTAGTGCACTATTCAGTTACCCTTAAGTATTTAATGGGCCTGCTTGCTATGCTAAGTATATTTCTGTTAAAATGTGTAATTAGGGCCTGTGATTCAGTGAGAGTTATTTGCTCCAACTCCTGCTAGTCCCCATTTTGTGACTTTGTTGGAAAAAACATGAAGTTGCCATATGCAGAGGCAACAGCGAGGCAAGAGTGGATAGGATAGTCCTTGAACAAAAAATACTTAAATGGAGACAGGAAGGGAACCAAGGGTTTGGGTAAATGCCTGTGTTCACAACTGTCTACATTTTGGGCATCACGAACCCCCAGGGATGGGGTGGCAGAAGTGAAGGGGTAAGGTGCAGGGCTGATCATGAGGACCACCAGTCCTGCCCCTCAGACATGGGGCGTGTGCTGGGAGACCCTGGAGTTGAACAGGAGTCAGGTCCAGGGTTCTTTAAGGCCACTGGTTAGCGGTCATGGCCCCAGGGAGGCTCCATATGGCTCTTCCTTCTTCACAGGGTCATGGGGAAGTGAGTAGAACGATGTCTGTGCCGACACTTGGTGAGTTAGAAAGCCCTGTGCAAACATGAGGTTACTCGTGATGAATGATAACACGTGCTCGCTTTTCCTCTGCTCACGGTGGTGCGCTGACAGCAGCACGGGGGGAGCGGTCCACCCGGCAGAGAGGACTGTTGCCTCGCGGGCATTGTTGAGCACTGCTAGTGCATGAGGACAGTGGAGGGCAGGCCGACTTACAGTCAGTTCCACTGCTGTTCCTAAATTCTCCGTCAACAGGGCACCTCCTTGTTGCCTGACTGCTTTGGTGTGTCATTGTCAACACTGTCCTTTTTTTTTTTATTCTAACAGCTGTATATTTCTTTAAAGAGTTATAGTTCACCCTTTTACAGTATGCAACTCAGTGGTTTTTAGTATATTCACACAGTTATGCAACAATTATTATTGTCCAATTCTGGAACTTTTTCACCACCCCAGAAAGAAACCTGTTCCCATTAGTAGTCACTCCCTTTTCTCCTGGAACCCCCACCCGCCTTAACCTCTGGCAGCCACTAATCTACTTTCTATTTCTATGCATTTGCCTATTCTGGATTTGCCTATTTCATATAAATGGGATAATACAATATGTGGCCTTTTTTTGTCTGCCGTCTTTCACTTAGCATCATGTTTTCAAAGTTCATCCATGTTGTGGCCTATATTAGTACTTCATTCCTTTTTGTGACTGTATAATATTCCATTGTTTGGATAGACCACATTTTGTCTGTCTATTCTTCAGTTGATGGACATTTGGGCTGTTCCTACTTTTTGGCTGCTATGAATAATGTGTCTATGAACATTTGTGTACGAGTCTTTGTGTGGACATACGTTTTCAATTCTATTGGGTATATAACTTTAAGTGGAATTGCAGGGTCATATGATGATTATATGTTTAACTTTTTAAGGAAGTGCCAAACTGTTTTCCACAGTGGCTACATCATTTTACATTCCCACCAGCAATGTATAAGGGTTCTAATTTCTCCATATCCTCACCAAAAAATTTTTCTTGACCAATTTTTTTATTCTAGCCATCCTAGTAGGTGTAAAGTGGTATCTCATTGTATTTTTTTTTCTTACAGGGTAAAAATTTTATTGAAACAGGAAAGATTACTTTGTACATTGTGCGGGTTACTGAAAGTTCCAATTTATATTTGAGCATTTCTGTAAAGAAAGGAAAGCTGATCTGATCCAAATTGGCACTTTTTGTTGTAATTCAATTTTTTTTTTAATTGAGATGTAATTGACATATAAACATTATATTAGTTTCAGGTGTACAACGTAATGATTCGATATTTGTGTATATTGCGAAATGATCACCACAATATGTCTAGTTAACATCTGTCATGATACTTAATTACAAATTTTTTTCTTGTGATGAGAACTTTTAAGATCTACCCTCATGGCAACTTTCAAATATGCAATATAATATTATTAATTATAGTCACCATGCTATATATTACATCCCCATGTCATTGTGGTTTTGATTTGCATTTCCCCAATGACTAATTATATTGAGCCTCTTTTCATGTGTTTATTGTCATTTGTATATCTTCTTTGGAGAACTATATTTTCAAATGCTTTGTTCATATTTTAATTGGGTTATTTGTCTTTTTATTGTTGAGTTGTAAGACTTCTTTATGTATTCTGGATACTAGACCCTTACCAGATATATGATTTACAAATATTTCTCCCATTCTCTGGGTTGTCTTTTCGCTTTCTTTATGGTGTCCTTTGATGCACGAAAGTTTTTTATTTTGCTGAAGTCCAATTTGTCCATGTTTTTCTTTAGTTGCTTGTGCTTTTGGTGTCCTATCTAAGAACCATTGCCTGATCCAAGGTCACGAAGATTTAGACCTATGTTTTCTTCTAGAAGTTTTATAGTTCTAATTCTTACATTTAGGTGTTTGATTTCTTTTGAGTTAATTTTTGTATATGGTGTGAGGAAGGTATCCAAATTCATTCTTTTATATGTGGATATCCAATTATGCCAGCACCATTTATTGAAAAGACTATTCTTTCCCTGTTAAATTGTCTTAACAGCCTTGTCAAAATCAATTGATCATAGTGTAAGGATTTATTACCTGACTCTTAGCTCTGTTCCAGTGATCTGTATATCTATCATTATGCCAGTTTTGCACAGTGCTGATTATGTAGCTTTGTCGTAAATTTTGAAATCAGGAAATGATTTTTCTTTTATAAGATTGCTTTGGCTGCTCTGTCTCCTTCACATATTTATATGAATTTTAGGATTGGTTTGTCAATTTCTGCAAAAAAAAGTCAACTGGGATTTTGATAGGGATTGTGTTGAATCTGTAGAGCGATTGGGGAAATATTGCCATCTTAACAGTATTAAATCTTCCAGTGCACGAACATGGGATGTCTTTGCGTTTATTCAGATATTCTTTAATTTCTTTAGACAGTTTTATGGTTTTCAGAGTCTATGTTTTATACTACTTTTGTTAAATTTATTCCTGTCTTTTATTCTTTTTGATGCTATTATAAATGAAATTGTTTTCTTAATTCCATTTTCAGATTGTTCATTGCTAGTATAAGTTTTTGTATATTGATCTTGTATCTGGAAACCTTGGTAAACTGTTTATTCTAGTAACTTTTTTTGTAGATTCTTTAGGATTTATACAAGATCATATCGTCTACAAATAGAGATAGTTTTACTTCTTCCTTTCCTATCTGGGTGTCTTTTATTTCATTGTCTTGCCTGATTGCCCTGGCTAGAATCTCCTGTACAGTGTTGAATAGAAGTGGAGAGAGTGGCTATCCTTGTCTTGTTCCTCACCTTAGGAGAAAGCATCCAGCCTTTCACCATTAAATAATGATGTTAGCTGTGTGTTTTTTGTAGATGCCCTTTTTCAGATGGACGAAATTCCCTTCTATTCCTAGTTTGTTGAGTGTTTTTATCATGAAAGAGTGTTGGATTTTGTCAAGTGCTTTTTTTACATCTATTGAGATGATGATGTGGGTTTTCTCCTTTGTTAATATGATGTATTATATTGATTGACTTGTATGTTGAATCATCTTTTATTTCTGAGATAAATCCTACCTGGTCATGATGTATAATCCTTTGTATGTGTTGCTAGGTTTGGTTTGCTAGTATTTTGTTGAGGATTTTTGTGTCCATATTCATGAGGGAGATTGGTCTTTGGTTTTGTTATCTTGTGTCTGTTTTGGTATCAGGGTAATGCTGGCCTTTTAGATGAGTTAGGAAGTGTTTCCTTCTCTTATATTTTTTGGAAGAGTTTCTGAGAGACTGGTGTTAATTATTCTTAAGCATTTGTTAGAATTCCACAGTGTAGGCCTGGGTTTTTCTTTCTGGGGTATTCTTTGATTACTAATTCAGTCTCTACTTGTTATTGGTCTATTCAGAATTTTCTGTTTCTTCTTGATTCAATTTGAGTAGTTGATGTCTTTCTATGAATTTATTCATTTCATCTATGTTATCTAGTTTATCGGCATCCACTTGTTGAATAGTATTCCCTTAGAAACCTTTTTACTTCTATAAGGTTGGTGGTTGTGTCCCTTCTTTCGTTTCTGATTTTAGTAATTTGAGTCTTCTCTCTTTTTTTCTTAGTTAATCTCGCTAAAGGTTTGTCAATTTTGTTGATCTTTTCAAAAACTGTCTTTTGGTTTTGTTAATTTTTCTCTATTTTTCTATTCTCTAGTTCATCTATTTCCACTCTAATTTTTATTCTTCCACACTATCTTGTGCACGGTGCTCTGCTTGCTAGTGATATTCCTCTGATAGTTCCAAGCGGTATTTGTCACATTTATCATGCACCTGTGGGAGACCTAGAGGAATCTTGGACTGTAAAGGTGTGTAGGGTCCCAGCACAGAGCTGTACCAGGGTCAGTAAAGGGCTGCTGGGTCGAAGGTCTGCAGGATGGGTGATGGCGAAGGATGTTG